CAATCTCATCGAAACGGTGAGGGCAATTCTCAAGGGCCGTGTAGCTATTGACATACCCCCCCCGGTCGGAGAAAGAGAAAGGCACTGACACGGTGATTGCAAGGCTGCACTCGAGATGGAAGTTACGCAACCAGTAGCCAGAAACTACTAGTTAATAGTAGGTCCTTTGTTTAATATCATTTGAGACATCAAATACTAAGGAAAAATATTTACGCACGCACACGCACGTGCACACACGGACGATCATTCTGTCATTTTTCCGCCACTCGCCGAAGTAGTAATGGATTCAGAGTTCTCGGGACAGTCCATTAGGTGATAGAGAGAGGGGACTTTACGGTCGCAGATAGAACATTTGCAAGTTAAGTTATGATGGTTCTTGTTGGTACAGATGAGGAACTACCAGTCAATGGAACCAAAAAAGAAAACTTTTAAGACATTAGGTCTCTTGAACGTTCCGGATCCGAGCAAGTTTTCTGATGAGTCCTTGGCGCATTACAGCCAATGAAGCACTGTATTTGGCCCAAACACCAAATACTGATGGCAACTTGAATGGATAATAAAATACGCTATTCATATAAACCGTTCAGTAATCTGCACAGCTTGAAGTTATTTCTGGGAACCCCTGGAAGAAGGTTTTATAACGCTTCAAGTATCAATATATACGAGTAGGTCCATTGAATTTACAAGGCCATCCAAACCTTAACCCCTCTCTACTACATAAATGACGAGAGCTGGGGGAAATCTAGTTGCACCGTTCTCATCAAATTCTAATCGGAAAATTCTACTCTCGGTTACCCACAGAAATCGGTTTCATTCTTCCGATATTATGTGGAGTCACCACCAGCTTGCGGTACAGATTTAAATTGGCGTAAGCTTAAATTGAAGCTTATGTCACTTTGTGGAAGAACTGAGCACAGATAAGAAAGCAAGAGTCTGTCTCAAATCCAAAGAACCGATTGACTTCACTTTGGTCGTGGAAACACAGATTATAACGAGTAAGAAATAAGTCATTTTCTCCTCTGAGCGAAAATTAGGAAATGAAAAAAAAAATTAAATTAACTTTCGCATGGAGTTACCAAATTTTCCACAATTATCGTATACGCTGTAGAGGGGAATTCAGATTTTTCGATCGACCCTATTTCGAGTTTCCAGGTTGAGACTGACCCCAAGGGTCCTCTTAAAGGCCAGCAAGGGCTGGTGGTGGTCTCCGTGGTGTTTTCAAACACTTCTTATGTCACTGTTGGATGAAGCTGATATTTCACAGAGAGGTTCGTGTGTACAATAAGTTTTTTTTTCCCGATAATCTCATGAAAATGTATAACCAAAGTTATGGTGGTGGTGCCTTTATAACAACCCTGTATATAGTAGATCACTTAAATCAGGGGTGTCAAACATACGGCCCGCGGGCCGGATCTGGCCCGCGGAGATGGTTCATCTGGCCCGCCGTCTGTTCTTGAAATTTCCGCTTGGATCGACTGTCAGCACAAATTGGGGCAAAAAATGATGGGTGCGGCCCGCAGGCATCTGCGGGGTAAGGAATGCGCCCCGACCGATTTGAGTTTGACACCCCTGACTTAAATGATACGTATAGATTTTTTAAAACAACTTGCAACAGTCGAGTCTTCATAATGATTTTGCCGCAGAACTAGGCAGATCGGTAACATGAAAATCCCAACATGGAATGGCTCTGTGAAGGCGAGAAATCGACATTGTTTGCCGAAGGAACAGACAGGGAAGCAAAAAGGATATCCTTGACGGCCATGAACATCTTTGCATTTGCTAATAATCTTTTCCTCTCGTCAAAGACATGGTAGTCTTCAGGATGGTTCGATTTTTCTATTGATCTGTTTGAATTGACATGTTCACGATTATAGACCATGAGTGCTACCATTTGAAATGATTTCTCTCCCTTCGAGTTAGTTTCTATTGCCATGGCCATGGAGATCAGTTCTCTCTCACTTTGCGTATACTCTGCGATATACCTGAAGGGAAAGGGCAGTTCGAGTTAGGAATAAGAAAGGCTTCTCAAGGAAAGCTATTGCACGCTTTCTAGTTTTGGGCGAGACACTCAAGTCTTGTCGTCTACAAATTTGTGTCATCGCACGTTTTCCAGGGTCACCGCGGCCGATAGGGACGAAACGGGCTCAATATATTTACGTTCGAGTATTCTTTGGAACGGACTCGCATTTTAGAGGAACTCCTCGCAAAAAGTGAAAATGAAATGTGAAAAGTGAAAGTGAAAATGAAATGAGCCGGAAATATCTCTGGTCGTGAAAAAGTGACTTGCCTTGACTAAATCATAGGACTGTCTCAGGGCAGGTTGTAAGTCAACATTTTGTGACTTCTTATGATTGATTCACCTATAGACCTATTGCATTATACACTTTTGGCCGGCTTAAAGCGCATTGGTGAATGGGGGATGGTTACAAAGATCTTTAATGATCGATAATTGTTCGTGTCAATGTTGCTTCTTGGCCTCACTTTTCTTCAAAAAGATCATTGATAGTTTAAGGCATTTATTGCTTTCGAAAATATTAATTTCAAAATTAATCGATTATAAGCAAATCTCTGAATCGCCCTTATCATGATTCTTATCAACGGATGAATCATGAATTCTCCCATCAATTTTCAGTAGCCATGCGGTGTCAAAAAGGGTGAAACTAATAATTGGACGATATTTCTATTAAATGATAATACATATATGGTATGTCGTACCATTCAGGATTGTATCCATTATCTATATATTAATAGCCGATGTTTTTCTGTCCACAGGAGACCTGCACGGGTGAATTTTTCCGAACTCGTTCTGCCCGATCCGAACCATGGTCCTACCTAACCCGAAACTCGATCGCCAGACTGAGTTTCGGGAACCGCGGAGCCCACCCGCGGGTCGTATAGGGCTGATGGGGCCATCCCGCAGCCCGCTCAGGCCTCTAAGCTTCAGAACTCGGGGTCTCTGGGTTCGTCCTTTTTCTAAGAGGTTCTGCTGCCTCTGCTGACGCTTCCAGCTATCCCATGACGTCACGTTCGGGCTGGGCTGTTCATTGCTCTCATATTTCGCGACGTTCTGCTGCCAGCTGCTTGCCTGAGAGTGACGTCATTTAATGACGTGAACGCGTCGAGCGCTGACGGAACGAGCGAGGTGTCCTTTTTGCCAGCAGTTATAAGCGGATGGAGAAAAAGATCCCTCTGATAGTGCATTCGCCTGCGCTCAACAGGAATCTTGATTACCTACCAAGCTGCCGGCCCGATCCGCGGGTCGAGATGGTCCAACGGAGCTGAAACTCATCCCGGACATGGTTCAAAATCATACCTCATCCAATGCCCGGGTGTTCAAAATTCGGACGACGTATCGCACTCGAATGCTACTAGGCGGCACACCCTGAAATTTTCCATACATGAAATTGCAGGTTCCCCGATGACGCAACGCGTGGCCTATTATTGATCCAAAGCATGGCAGATTGGAATTCGAACGTTATCCCTAGAATCATCTGAGACAGAACTCGCTTAAAATTCCTATAAAGGGAAATTAGAGGCCTCCGGGAAAGGGAAGGATTTCCTCTCCTGCATCTGATAGACACGAGTTCCTAATTTGTACATCGTGTCTCAATTGAATATTATAGAACCAAATTTGTTGAAATTTGGCATATTGGGGAATTTGGGGATTTGGGGAAGGGGGGGGGGGGGGGAATGACGGGACGCACTCAATATTATTGTTCCGAAATATGACTTGAAAATTCCAGCTGAGTGTTTCATTTAAATACTTTGGGATATAAGTCGCTTAACCTCAAATACGAAGACGCGAATGTTTCACGGGTACCAACTAGTCCCATATAAATAGAAAAGGTTAAAAATTGGATTTGCCTCCTTATCTAATATATATAGACGATCCTGACTGACTGACTGACTGACGCTAATTCTAACCATGTTCTAGAAGGGTTAGAAATCTGAAACTTGGTACACATCTACCTTTTGGGATGCAGAGTTCAGAAAAAATCCGACTTTGGAGGTACATACCCTTGGGGTGCAAATTTTGGAGGGGAACGTTTTCCTTAAATATATTTTGTGACAGATGAGGACTGCATTCAGAGAGTTAACTGGATGTGCTGGGTTCGGTGGTGTAGTAGTAGCATATCTGACTGGTAGTCAGAAGGTTCGGGTTCAATTCTCGGGCATTTTTCTTTTGTTTTTTTTTTTTTTNTAGTGATTTTGATAAAAATCAAGACTTTCCACCCCATATGTCACATATTTCAATGGGAAGTACTTTGAAGACGTGTTTCTCATTTCGCAAAAAAAATGAATGAATTAATCACTATCCAAGGTAATGGAGCGCCGAAGGCGCGACCATAGCGAGTTTGTTTGCCCTTCGGGCAAACAAACTCGCTAGTACATACATACAGGTATATATAGCTTAAAACCCCTAATTACTCCATTGGCAACCCAAAGGAAGAACGGTTGTACGAATTCAGAAATTATCTGCCCAAAAGTTTCCCTTCGTTTGCGAGTAGTAACGCCTCTGGGTTTTCAATTTGTAGCCCCTCTGCTTTCACCTCTATTGACGACCATGACCATTCCATGTTATAGCCTTGAAACGAGAAATGAGAGCCTTGAAACGTGGGGTTCTTCACCCTCTTGTATGGAGAGGTATTTATCCAGGAAAGGAATTTAAAGTCTGAATCCTAGATCCCTCTCTGCCATTCTATATGAAGTGACGCTATCTTGCGCAAATTTCTGAATAAAACACATGGACAAAAAGGACAAGACAAAAGTACTCACCCTTTTATATAAATATTTATAAATGATATAGAGGATAACATATCTATACAATGTAAAGCGTGCCAAAGGAATATGAAAAGAGGAAACACGGAAATCTCATTTAAAAATGTATTGTAAGGAATGAGGTAAGAGGATCTACATATCCTATCAGGATTCGCTTCATCACCGTCCCTCCCTCTCGTTAATTATAGTCCTTCTTTCTTGGAGTGACGGAAGTCACTCATTCACAAGAGGATACGAGGATACAAGCAACTTCTGAACGGATGTGGAAGACGAAATTCCTTCCACTCCCAGGTGAGCCCATCCTCCTCTTCCTCCAACACCTCCTGCGTCTTCGCCATCGTCCCAACCTTCTTGAGGGTATTCCAATCTTTGATTCCCCCTATTGCTATGACCCGATCCTGGGTGTCTTTTCCCAGGCCGTGGAAGTACCTCGGGGTGTGGAGAGAGGAGGAATCTTCCCATCTCTCGGCCCTTAGGTCGTACACTCTGACCTGGGAGGAACCTGTCCAATTCCCCTTATCTTTGTTGGTCCCCATCCCTGTGTCTCCGCCGGCGAGAATGACGCGTGTCCCCCTCCACACCGTTGCCGCTGCTCCGTGTAACGATTCTGGGACATCAGGGAGAATATGATATTTGCCACCTTCTCGGGGGTCATACATATAGGACTTATTTATTCTCCTATTTTTTTTTTGATCCCATCCGCCGATGATAAGAACGGAGCCGTCGTCCAGAGATGCTCCTGCCGCCCCGAATATCTCTCTTGGAAGAGAGGGAAGAGAGTACCAGGCACCGCCTCCCTCTGTGGGGATAAACACTCCTGCTTCCGACTGACCCTTCTTCAGGTCTTCCGTCTCTCCTCCAAAGAGATAGAATCGTTTCTCAGGCACGAGGCAGGGGATCACACATGTGGAACAGGTTACGTGATGAGAGGAAGGGGAGGGGAGGGACGGGATGGAATGGTCAGGAGGCGGAATCCCGGACGGACCTCTTTCCATTTTCACTACCCATGTCTTCTTTCCTCTGAAGAAGAAGATTCGGTCCTCTATCCCTCCCCATGCCCCGTAGAACAGGTTCACTTCCTCTCCGTCCCTGGCATCCTTGAATTTGCGATTCGCGACCCTTAAGAAAGAGCTTTGGAGCGGGTTGAGATTGAAGACTCCGATCCCGTCCCATCCCGTTTCCTCTCTCACTGCGGCCACCATTCCTGCGGGGAAAGTGAGTGGAAATAAGGCGGGTGATATCGTGACAATCTTTGGATCACCTCCACATAGCTCTCATTCGCAATGGTCCCCTAGATGGTGAGAAATGTTACTTATAATATAACTTCAGAAAATATGAGTGCCTCCAGTGCCTTCAGATTAGCTACTTTGTTGGCGAAAGAATGAAAGGGACGGAAGTGAAGAACGAGGCGACCTTTTCCCTCTCGCTAATAGCATTAACAACCTTCCAACTGATCCCCATTTTTTGTGACAATGTTAGCTAAATGGAAAAAGCCCACCGCTAGTCCACACCGTGAAACCACATTCCCCCATTTTATCGACATTGTCTTCGTGTGAAACCTTGAAACAGTTTATATGTATACCTAGGTAGTTACATAATTGGTAAGGTGAGTTATTGACTAATATTTGGCAATTACTCCAGGAAATATTCATTGCATATGAGTCACACAAACTCAAGAGTGGTGTCTATCTCTCATCTCGTCTCTCTCTCGTCTGGATTATATTCTCTGCAGATCACTTAAAACTTGTTTGCTGCCTAATACCTCACAATCTTCAGCGCTTGAAGCAAAACATCAGGAACGAGGTCAGTTCAAAACATTCCAGAAGCGATTCTCTAGAACTTGTTCCTTTGATCCCATCATCAATGGGATCAAAGGCCACGAATGGTCTGGGAGAAGGCGAGAAATCATCTCTCCTTGATAGAATAAATATAAATATTTAGAAATATGCATAGCTTCGTGATTACGATGAGGATGGGGTGATGGATGCTTTTTTAATTAAGGCTAACGTGCGAGAAGTTTGGTCTGACTTTCAAGTCGCTTTCAGCCCTCGCTGACGACACGTGAATTGTACTCTTAACAGGGGAAAAAGGATCTCAGAGATGATGGAAAGGCGCTCTCGTACCGGGATGAAGGTCCATGCAATCAAAAGCTTCTCCCCTTTCTTCCTCAACTTCTGAGATGTCACTTCTTTTGCCCTGATTCTGCTCCAACAAACGCTCGAAGTAAGCTATGGAGTTGGATGTGCTTTCCCCTATAAAGTAAAGGAAAGCAATGAGTGAAAAGTACGAGGCATACACCCTTACAAAATGTCCGCCTGCCAGCTGAATTTGGAACCAGGTAGATATACCCTTAGGCGTATTTTCATCTGTTGGAGCGATGTCCACCTGGTTAAGAATCCATCCCGGGGAGGGGGGGGGGGGGGAAGATCCACCTGGTTCAAGAAGCACGTGTGCGAATGACCAGGTGGATTTCCACCGGGTGGCAAATTATCTGGCCATTCAGCCAGGTGGCTGCAGGTGGACGTTTTTTAAGGGCGTGTACGAGGTTATATCTTGAAACGTATGAGAGCAAACTGACGTGCACCGCTAGAAGCATTTTCGAGGTCAATGGTCTCTTCTTGATACCCAAGGTCAAAAGTTTGATCTGCATAATGGACGCGACCTTGATCCAATTGATGCTTTTCATCGTAACTCTAGAAAAATGAGAAAATGCATTTGCAGTCGTTGTACTCCAGTAAGCCAAATGGGAAAGTAAAGAAGGCAGATGCTAGAAATGGATTGGATCGCATCAACCATGGAACACGCCTGAGGAATATCAGGGGAACGAGCAAATAATTTGTAGTAAAAGGAAAAGAAGATTCCAAGTTTTATATAATGCGATGACATATTCGGGACATCTGCATTGAAACAGGAAATCTAGATAACAAACGTGTGGACAAACGGCAAGACATTGCTTAGATAGCATTAATCTCGGAGCCTCGAGCCCCTTTTATGAGTCCTCTTCTTTATGAAAGTGATTAAAAGTTCAGACAAGTAGGAAGTCAATGGACAGCCAATAGCTCTTGATCTTGCCGTTAAATTGCGCAGGTATGAAGAGGAAAAGATGGATTATTATTATTATGGAAATGAATTACTCATTGTCATCGAGCGTGTCCCTTTTTGTACGCATTCACGAGCATGACTTTCACCACATTTTACCTCTCCTGGGGCAGTAATATCCCTAAAATATGCTTTTTTGGAGGATGTTTGTATTTTAAAAAGAACTAACTGAGATATTTAAGTGAAGTATTTATACCGGGATATTTTAGATATCTTGAGATGTTTTAGTGAGTATTTATACAGGCGTCAAAGAACGGCACACCTGATCCGAGGGAACTCGGACTTGGTCGTCAAAGTGTTAAATGAACTGAGAGAATTTACGTACTCGTTGTCTGAGCTTCGAAGCAGGAAAGCCATGCTGTTCCTCGTTGCTGTCACGAGTTTCCCATTGTCCATCTATGAGCATTTCATCATTGGGTGTTTCTTGCAATTCAAGAGACATCCTGGAAAAGAGTTTCACGGATTGTTGGATGCGGTCCAGATCGACAACCGACCAGAAAATCCCGAACCAAATTTTTCTCAAACCTCGCTTGGGTGTTGGAACTAACTGGCGACTGCGACTCCAGACTCGATGAATCAAATTCCACAGGAAAGGGGACGTTCTCGATGAATTTCCCCAAAAAGTTTCCCGGCGGGAAATAAAACGCAACCACGATGATATGACCATTCCTAGACATCCCCCGAGCGACACCCAACTCCTCTGTGTCTTTCCAAACCATTTGGGTGAAGTGTCCTGAGAGGTGGACGAAGAAAATTAATGGAAAATATGAAAAATCAACTTTTTGAATTTCACATAATAAATTATTCTTTAATAAATATGCCACACTGGATAGGTCTAGCACAAACGTTTGGTCGGAGAATCTGCACCTTCCCTGGAATCAAACATAAGGTGTATTAGCCCTTGTTGAGTGATTTAGATCGATCCCTAAATACCTCCGCATTCTTTAAGTCGTTGCTAGCTAACGGCAGCTGTATTTTCAATTAGCTCCTGTAGGATATAGACTCGACTCGACCTAAACACCCAATAAATAAATTTTCACTTGCAATTGAGGTATTTCCTTTTTTCTGAGTGCACGTTTTCTTGTCAGCATAAGCAGTATCCGGTGCGTAACATCTTGCATTCAAGATTATTGTCATATATACAATTGCTATAAACTATTCAATAGAACTATTAGACAGAACTATTATACCTGCCTAGAGAAGACTGATGAATAAGCAAATGGTGAAAGCTTTTGTAGCAGTCACCCCAGAGTCATTAAGCCTATGGAACTCAGAAGAAGATGGCAGGCATAATACTGAAGACCTCTCCCTTGCGGCTAATGTGAGGTTTGTATAACGGAGGCGAGAAATGGAGCTGCCATTAAATAAATCTCGATGGCATTTCCTTGTGATTTCCCTCAAGTGGCCCACTGCCCCCAGCCGTTATTTTCAAACATGAAGCATACAAAGAAAATCTCTTGAGATCATTATCTAGTCGCGCGGAAAACGCACCAATGTTCCTTTTATTGAGTGTGGTCTCAATAACAAAGTGCGATTCTGATGTGCACCCTAAGGGTTTACAATCGCATTTCTGATTTTGACCCTAGGTATGGATGATATCACGATATCGATCGGCATATGGTCTGCAACATCGATTCCCTCAAAACGCATCTCGCTCAGCCATAGTATCCATCCGTGAAAACGAACAATGGATATAGGAGGCAGCATCGTTTGAAGGCCGCACTGTGATGGTACTTCTAAACTCACCGGACGACAGGTTGCCAGAGGGTTCATGGTCGAAGTTATGCTTCTGGATCTCGGAATACCATTTCTTGACGGGAACCTCAGCGGGAACGGTGCAGTTATTTTCTGTGGATCGCACCCAGTAGATGCTTTCTCCGTATTTCCAGTCGAGTCGATGCTTCAACCGTTCCAAGCGACAAAGGTGCTCCATCCATTCCTTCGCTTCCTCACATATCTATTACATAAATCAATTTTTTATGTACTAAAATTTCAGAAGTAACTTGAAGCATTGTTTCCTGGCTGGGGGAGGAAATATCGAGGGGAGATAACGGCATTCATACATGTCACGGAACCTCACATCATACATCCGTAATGGCTATCGGATTACCTCACCTTCAGGTTGAGTTTGAGGGGAGGGACTCGATGTTTCGCCCTGTATGTATTGTGAGCCACCAATGATTTAATGGCGAACGTTGCATCATCTTGCTCCAAACTGCCGGCTTCCTGATCAAAGAAATTTACTTTGACACTTCAAAAAGTATGTGCACACTTTAATATGAAGAATTAGGGAAATGAAAATACAGGAATTCCTGAGTTAGGACTGGATACATTACTTCCGTGGCTTTCTTGGAGATTTATTTCTTCCTACTGGAATATTATAGAAGAAAAGATCGAGCCTCCTGATTCCTCTGTAACAATGCTTCGCAACCGGTGTGCCGCGACGAAGGTGGAGAAAAAAAAAGGCTGAGAAGCACTGCTCTTTAGGATAGGCTAGTCATTCTGTCTGTAGTAATATAAGGAAAAGGTAAGAAATTGCCAAGGATGTCACGAAAATAAAATCCCAGGCGAAACCTGGGAATTTTAAAACCAAATTTTTATCTGTGTAAAATAAACAGAGTTAAAATTTACAAAAGGAACTAGAATAGAAGAGGGCACTGTAATTTTGACTTGAGGAAGGGGGGGAAGGAGGCTCTCATGATTCGTAAGACATAGATTAATTCAAATAATTACAATGGAATCTATTTTATTCCAGGCATTGGATAATAATAATAATAAAGCAAGGCATTCAGGTATGAGCAGCCAAACAAAAAAACATCGGAGAACAACTGGTAAACCTGTGAGGGTAGACAAACCCATGGACTTGCTCTCAGTGGAGGCTATACCGACGTGCGAATAAGCTAAATCGACATTCATGTGAATTCACTTGAAAAGAAGCAGACCAGGGAATCCGCAACCAGAAGGGTTGTTGCCGTCCTTCATGGGAAAATATTATCCCATCGCCAAAACATAAGCGACATTTATGATGTAATGCTTTATGATAATTAATAATAATAATAAGCTCTCGCTGGACTGCCGCGAGAAGTTGGATGGTGGACAAAACATGCTTATGTTTAAATGGAGAACCACATGATACCTCTCTATATTGAAGTTTACCACCAATAGTACCATGAATAGCCTACCGAACATAAATTGAAAACATGATCGACCGGCCAAAAATGTGAAAACTCACTGCACGACACACAAACAAACTGCATGACTCTCTAGAGAAGTGAAAAGTAATTTGTTAAAGTTTTGATCCGCTGTTTTGGAATTTTGGAATGGCTAAGTATTTTGGAATATAGGCATTTAGAATTTAAAAGAAAATGTTGATACCTAGCTTCATGAGATGCTTTGACTTATTTTGGGTCATTCACCTGAGGTGAAACAACGGTAAAAAAAAAAGGACCTCTTCGGCCAAGAACAATTCATTGTTGGGACTTTCGCTATTATTATTGGAGCCTTCAATCCTATTCGTGAGACTTAACGCCCTTATTGCAAGAGTCAAAATGCGAGAAAAGGGGAACTGATTATTCATGGTTACATGGATGATCAGTACCCTTTTCTGAACTCGCCCCCGAATTACGCTATGAGGAGGGACATCATGAATTGGACTTGTAATATTTTTGACCGATTGCGTCCACGTTCGAAGAACCTGGAAGAAATTACGCGCAATTTTCGAAATTACCCCTTGCTTGAGCATTGATGCAGGAAAGCCACGCAGTTCTCCGTTGCTCTCACGGGTTTCCCGGGGTCCGTCTACGAACTCTTCGTCGTCGGGTTCTTCTTGCGATTCGAGAGACGCCCTGCAAGGGAGTTTCACGGGGCGTTTTGGAAACGGTCCAGATCAGCAAGCAACCCAGAAATTCCAGTCACGCTGGATTCGTCTTAAACCTGGCTCGGTCGTTGAACTTTCTCGAAGACGGCTCCGACGACTCGACGTCCAAGGGAGTGGGGACGTTTTCCGTGAATTTCCTCACTAAGTTCCCCTGCGGGAAATAAATGGCGACCACGATGATTCGACCGTTACTGGACTTTCCACAGGCGACGCCCAATTCCTCTGTATCCCTCCAAACCACTTGGGTAAAGTGTCCTGGAAAAGGGACGAAGAAAACGATGGAAAATTCCATGCCGTCAAAATTTGGAAGTGCGAGTTCACTCCAGAGTCAAACGAAACCAGATCGATATAGCGCAAATATTTGATCGTAAAAACTTGTGAACGCTTCTCCAGAAATCCAGAGATTCCCTGAGAGGAAATCAGAAGAAAGTGGAGCCTAGTAGCAAAAAATACCACTCGGAACTAATCAGAATCCTTCAGCTCTTCATTTGCTTGTGTGTGTGTGTGTGTGATACTGCGTGACCCTAGTCCGCTGTACGCATGCATCATGGGCAACTGTATACTGCAACATCAAGAGCCATGGGTCAGGAAATCATTTGAAAGGGTGGGAACATGTCAAGATGTAGTACATATTACTTTTTACATTTGAGAAAATGTTCGCCTTTCGTAGCCCTTATTTATATTGCAAACGCACACATAATCAAACAAGGAGCTAGATTTCCCACGAATTTTTCTTTTTCTGAGCATGCTTTTTTTTAACCTTGATCTTGCAACGTTTATACACGCTCCTGAGCCAGCTGATAGCATATCTGTTGTCCCAGGTCCTCTTATAGCGATAGCCCTTCTTATTTTACACGGTATGGCAAAAAAAGAAACATCTGCGACTTTTAACCTTCATGCCTTTGCATTTTCTGAAGCCATTCCTGCGAAATTTGCACTCAGCAATGGACTGACGTTCCCGGCAACCATTTCGAAGTTCAGCCAATTTTTTTCCCCCTAGAGCAAGGCAATGATTATTAAAAGTAAATCCGAAATCGAAATTGGCCGGAAGACCCTAGCCTCCAACTGTTGATCTGCAGTTGCAGCCCAGCTCTTCCTCCTCCCTTCAACTCCCGGCAAGGCCCCCATCCGTTTTCAATGCTCAATAGATTTTATTGAATGCTCATAGCCCAGCTTTGGCAATATGGATTTCAATGAAAATTGAAAAGCTCTTATAAACCTATGCAAAGTAAAAATTTTGTAAAAATAGCGGCCATAAAAGCAGGGCCTTTTTGTCTACAGCCATTTTATCGTCATACTCTGTACGTCGACTTCTCGGATGCCTGAATTGCAATGGTACCAACTCGTGAATAATAGAAGCAGGTTAGTTCAAATACTAGTCGAGTGGTGTTTTTCTTCTAAACTCACCGGATGATAGATTGCCAGAGGGTTCGTGGCCAAAGTAATGGTGCTTGATCTCGGCGTACCACGTCTCGACGGGTGCACGAGGGGTGACGATGAAGTCGTCGTCTGTGGATCGCACCCGGAAGATGTTCTCTCCGTATTTTAAGTCGACTCGGTGCTCCAGTCGCGCCGAGTCGCATAAGCGTTCCACCCGTTCCTTCGCTTCCCAGCACATCTATTGCATTAGTAAATTCATTTTAAAAATCTCTTAATACAACTTGCAAATATTGGGAGGAAACATCCTCCGGTTGGGATAGGAAAAATTGAGGGGAGTTGATAGAGCGTTCATACAAATCGGGGTACCTCACATGCATCCGTAATCGCGATTGGATTACCTCACCTGCAGATTGAGCTTGAGGGGAGGGACACCGTGCTTCGCCCTGTACGTATTGTGAACCACCAATGATTCGATGGCGAATGCTGCATCTTCTTGTGTCAACCAGTGGGGTTTCTGGCGAAGATATTTCAGTCTCATGTGCCAAGTGCAATAGACAAAATGTCAAAAAAGTAAAAATAACGTTATTTCGAAGTGAACGGTACCGGGTCAATATTCATATGATATTATCTTAACTACCGGGGTTTCCATGCTCTCTTTAAGCATATACCAGGTACAATCTTGTTCGGTCAAATTCCTGCTTTTTAAATCTTCCGAGGTAAGAGAAGATGGCATATTCAGGACTCATCAGTAAACGGCTGCAATATTAAAAATGCGAACGGTCGAGATTTGAATTTCCCGCTTCGACTTACCTCATGATGGGTATTCCCCGAAGGAGCATGAGAGTAGCGCCTTTTCGCCTCCCGCATTTCCTTGCCAGGAAACGAGAAACGGTCGCGATCCTTTGAGACGCTCGGGGGATCCTGGCTTCTCCGCCTGACCGCCTCTTGGCTGTGGCGTCGAGGGCGGAGGGGAGGGCCAGACGTCGATTCTGCGAGGGAGGCTTCCGGTTTTGGCTTGTCGAGGCTTCTGAAGAATCCCGAGATCCAGGAGTTCGAGCGGGGTTTCGTCTTCGGTTTTGGGGCTTCGTCTTCTGGTTTTCGATTGCCCGATCTTCTCAGTAAATCTACTATCCTCTCCCTGGTTCTTTTCTTCTTGGGAGAGGGAACGCTCTTGGACGAAGTGAGAATCGGCTTCTCTCTTGTCGTGACCGTGGTTTGAGGCTGGGTTGAGGGATTTTCCTTCGAGGGTCCTTCCTCTGACGGCTCAAATGTCTTTTGTGCATTCTTCGGCTGAAATATCATTATTGTGCATTTCATTAGGATGATGCCCCGAAGAATGATCATTTAGAGCAAAGTTGACGCAGACAAAGTCTGGAAAACCGTGGTGAAACATAGAATCTCACACCAAAGCCCTTACTCATCCATTATCGGAGCCAAAGAATCGCGGAAAATCTGAAAACCTGCCAAAGAGAGGGAATTTTCATCCATCCCCACAATTTCAGGGTGATCGATATGCGCTCCTCGATGAGGAAAATTTTCTGGACTTTGAGGAGAAACCTTTCGAGACCTTGGAGTGTGGAATTTTCTCGTCGAAGGGAAATGCCTCTAACCGAGATGGTAGCCAACGTTACGGTACCGAACTCCTTGGAATAAATGACCGAGAAAGTCAGGTACCTAGAATTAAATAGGAGAGTCTGTCACATGAATTTGCGAAATTATTCCGTTTGAAGGAATGAGCTAGCCATGACTTCATTTTTTTTTTCATATATATTCGCATCTTCATATATAGGAAGGAGAAATTCTCCTACGGTTGCGAGTTCAACTGTGTCCACCGACATCAACCAGAGCCATCAGATACGTCTCAACAAGTAAAAGAAATGTGTTTAGGGCTCGAGCCAATCGGTGCTCAAAGTCAAGAATCATCATTCAAAGCTTACACGACGTCATTTCGGCATTTATTCGAAGGAAAATCCACGGAAGCACGGCTCTGTCATCATCCCGATCGCTTCCAACAAGCTCACTTGGGCCCATCGAGAGGTTGAAGCGTCTACCGAAGAAGGCGCTGCAGTAGCGAATCAACTTTTAGAGTAAGGATTCAACTTTTCCCACCCGGTCGACATTGAAATCTGGGATTTAATTGCAAGGAAACCTGCTCGTTTAAAGTTTCATCTCTTCTTGTCTATTTATCTGTACGATTTTTATTATTTATCCCTAAAATTATATTTACCTGTATGATCTATTTATCTGGTGAGCGATGCGGATAGATCCGTCATCCGGACGGTAAAGGTAAAGCGCCATCGCTCATCGATTCTGGGAGCTTCGAGTGACTGCTAGAGGGCTTGCTTAATGCCTACTTATTTCACTACACTTACTCGAGGTCAGAACTCGCAAGGCTCGACCTCGTGCACTGATCGATTTCAGCCCATGGACATTTTCGTCGATGAATCTAATGGTTTTCGTGGCGTCGGTAGAAGCGACTGCACGCAAATCTTCCATTTCAAAATCCCAGGTTTCCCGCGAAACGTCGTACGGAACAGAGAACGACTCGTGAAAATCACGACTCCCGTCTCTGCGTTCGACGAAGCCGCCGATGAAGATTCCACCTAGGGGATCGGTTTTAGACACGCGGAACGGACACAGACCTTCGACGCCTGCGGTTCTCCGCCTTGCTCCACGGCCCGAAGACGGCCGTCGCCGCCTTCGTTCGCCGGTCCCATCGCACGCGCCGCCGCCTCGCCCTCCAAGGGATGTCGCTCGGCGACCTCCTCCGACTGCAAACCATTTCATCACCGTTTCACCATTTCACGAATTAACTGGGAAGATCAAATATTCGACGGGTCAGCTCCAAACGGTTTAGGCAGGAGACAAATTTGAAATTTGTTATCTTCCTGTACAATAGGTACCTATTGTGTTTCGAATCATTGTGGGAAAAGTGGAACCATTCGGAGTCCGAGGGGAACTCTAGAAAAGTGCTGCCACATTTTATACCTAGAGTTCTAAATCCTGTTGTCCCAAGAGAGAGAGAGAGAGAGAGAGAGAGTAGTTTCTCTTCCATGGTAAAACACATTTGAGTTGGTTCTCCAAGCCTTTCGAAAAGGGAGGATCGTTAAAGAATTTTCGCTGGGCAGTACATTTTCTCGTCCGACCTAACGCATGAATGTTCACTAAGTGCAACCAGAGAATTTTGCGCATCGTTGCGTAGTTCACGGGATTTCCTCGAGCAAGAACTTCTTGCACAGATGAGCACGAGTGAGGTACGAATATATTTATGGACCGAAAGTGTCCCATTTGATTTCTCCGTCACCGAGGTAGCATTGGGAATACGAATAAATATATTCTAAGAGTAAAAGGAAAGAACGCCGAGCTCGGGATTAAATTCCACGTGGATCCTCCACGACTTCCCATCGAAATGTCTTCAGGCAACCTTACGGCAAAAGTTACTCGTGCGATTTGGACGAATGGGATATCTGCAACGCCATGGATCGATGGGTTACGTTTTTCATTCGCACAATCTGTTCTCATCGCAGCGCTCGATAGGACGACCGAAGAAAAGGCCTATTTCGGCCTCGATTACTAATACGCGAAAAGGACATGGACCTTCCACGTTTGTGGCTCGAGTTCTTCGCTTCGTAGCCCGTAGACGGCCGACGCGATGTTTCGTTCGAGGGTCCCATCGCGTTCCTCACCTTCCACGAGTTTTTCGACCTCGTCTGACCTCGGCCGCGAAATTGCCTCCGAGTGAATGCAGGCAAAAACCGTCTCGTAGGAGATCCACAGAAAAAGTACGCTTGCTGTATTTCACCGGTCGACATTCAGCGGTCTGTCCGTCGACGCGATAACCGCCACTCGGGCGGAAGTGCACGATAGGACCTCTCATTAAAAGTATGAAAGTATAAAAGGGCACCGACCTTCGACATCTGTGGCTCGAGTCCTTCGCTCTGCTCCTCGGCCTGAACATCGCCGACGTCTTCTTCGTCCTCGGATCCCGTCCCGTGCGCCGTCGTCTCGTCCAAAGTCTGGTCTTCCGTCTCGTCCGACTGCGAAACATGGAATTCCCCGTTTCTGACTGTCGGCAGTCGGTCGAATTTAGGTCTCTCGTCCCTCAACCGGGGAGCCCATGCATCCGACGGGTGATTTCGAAACGATCATCGCAGGAAAATCTTGCATCACTGCGATCCTATGATTCCTGACTTTTTTCGACCCCAGTACATGAGGTAGTATTGGAAAACCTCGAGCAGGCAATCGACTAAAAACGTCTCGGCGCGGGAGGGTGTCCTTCAAACGATTCTATCTGTAGATGGTAATAAAAGGGGAAAATGCCGAAAGACAAGGGGATTTTTACTGCGTTTTTCCTCTGACCCACGTTCCCCAACGGCGCCGCGTCAAGGCCA